TGTATCATAGCTTATCCGCAAGTAAAAAAAAAAATCTACATACCTTTCTGTCGGAATCCTATTTGGACATTAAACAAAAAAGTATTAGATATCTTCATTTATAACTTTTCCGTTGTGTCATTCGTAATTAGCATTGAAAAGCTTCTGTTTTGTAATATGACATTATTTTCGAAGACACTGTAACTGTTCAGAAAAATGTAATACATATTGTTATGTAAGGTCTATACCTTACGTAACAATATGTATTACATTTTTCTTAAGGAATTAGAAAAGCTTATCGTTAACTTCACCAGTGAAACTAATGTCCATAAATCAGCGTTGGGCGTTAATCAATTAAATTTCAATCAGAAATTTAATCATATTAAAAATGCATTCAATTGAAATCAATTGCAATTTACTTGCAATTTATTTTAATTGCAATTGATTTCAATTAAAGTGATTTTCATTGCAATTAAATTAATTGCAATTAATTTTTTTAGTTGTTCTAAGAAACAATTGAAACTAACAATTAAAACCGAAAGTACCGAAAGTATCGGTTTGGGAGTCGGTTAGGTGGTCGGTTGGGGGGTCGGTTGGGGGTCGGTTGGAGTGTCGGTTGGGGGGGTCGGTAGGGGGGGGCGGTTGGGGGGCCGTTTGGGGGTCCGGTTGGGGTGCAGTCAGGGGTGAGTGACCCACCCCCTAACCCAACCCACCCACACACCCGCTCATCCACCTACTCACCCACCCACTCACCCCCTAACCGACCACCTAACCCACCCGCTGACACACCCCCTAATCCGATAAGAGTGGGAGATAATCGGAATGTGAAGAGAGCCTCAAAGGTCGGCCCATTGAAGATTAGTTGGTCGCAACAGGTATCGCGAGCAATGGCGTACGAGCGGACCTGCGTGAATTTTAAGTTCAAGGATGGCGATTGAAAACCAAGACCGAGGAAAGTTATGTCGTCTCGCCTCGAAGGCTTAAGTGCCATTTTCCACTAAGCAACTAGCCGCGGGCGACTGGCCGCACGCGAGTCTGTTTTATTTCCTACTGCCGGAAATGATAACGGCCGCGTCAATGGGTCTGGTATAGTGACTTATTTAAATACCTAAATAAAAGTCGCGCGTGGCCATCCGCCTGCGACTAGCCGCTTAGTGGGAAATGCGTGTAAGTGATTTATATCATGAACTTTGACCTCGATTAAGCAAAAATTTAAATTTAATTTCATGCTTAAACTTCAGTAAATTTAATTTCGTAAATACGAAACATTTGCTTAACTCGCTGATTTTGCTTAGTCGATGTCAAAGTTCGTTTTATAAATCGACACGTAAATAAGGTATAGCTAAACTACACGCACTGGCACATTTAGTGGAACACTATTATGGTCTGTAAAACAAGGCAGTCCTTTTTCAAAAGTCTAGCCAATTATTTTACTTTTTTATTTTAGATCTAATTTAAAAACACAAAAATACATTGAACAGTTGATGGTATTTTTTTTCATTAATCTGCTTTAAGTTGTTTTTAATACAGATGTATCGAGTAGTTCGGTATTGATTTTGCGTTTTTGTAAATTAATAAAAAAATTAGTTGAAGAAAAATTTTATACACTAAACTTCAATGTTATTAATATTAAAGTGTTCCAATTTTTTAATTTCCTATTGGTTGCGTGCTAACTTTAAGTTGAGATACCTATGTTAATTTAATTGTAAGTTTATGTCTAATTATTATGTATTTACATAAAAAGTTGTTGTTTTATATTCTCACTTTTTTGTTCCGCTAAATGTCGGTGTTTAGGTAGTGCCTTCGGAATGATCGCTATTCTGTTACTCAATGTTTTGAGAATTCCGTATTTCGAGGCCAACAGCGACAGTGTCATAGGTATTCTGCCTTTCCGCCGCAACTGCGCGCAGTGATGCCGTTGACACCACTTTTAGAAAAATATATTTTTTTAATGTAAAATTAATGAGCGCATGGCCATCCATTTACAGCACATGTTAAGCGACGATCTGGCCGATGATATGCGTTTGTCTAGTCAATATTCACTCTAGCCTTGCATTGCTTTTTTTACGAAATTAAAAAAAAACTTATGCCTATTTGTTTACAAAATTTACAAGAATAATTAACCTCGAATCACTCGATGTAATAGCAGGATATTATTAAAACAAATTCATGAAAAAAAATACTGTCCACTAATTTTTGTTTTTTAAATTAGACATAAAATAAAAAAGTAACAACCGACTAGACTTTTGAAAAGACACGGCATTATTTTGAGGATTTTACTAGTGTACCATTGAATGTGCCTGTGTGTGTAATTTAAGAGTCATTACGCATCATTTTTAGACGTCATTCGTCATCTAGAACCCTCCCTGTATTTGCAACTAAGTTAGACGTGCAGGAATATAAAATCGCGCAAAAACGTAAAGTTAATGATTTTTAATCGTTGCCGGACCTTACTGGCGTTACGTAATCAATTACCGGAACTTAAATATTGATAAAGGACTGACTTAAAATCGGACAAACTGGTATTTGTTTACTTCCTTTTTTTGTTTTAATAATATTACATATACATACATATGTATGTATAACGACAGTCGTCTATATAACGTCAGTTATAATAATAAAATTGAGAAGTATGTAAAAGTAAATCAAAACATCTAATCAAAATATAATATAATCAAAAACAATCAAGTGTTCAGGCTATTCGCGAAATTATTACAAACAAAATTTTACATTATTTTATTTCAAAAAGATACTTCTTAACTTTGTGAAAATGCTTTTCGAGAAGTCACCTCTTTAACTTCAATTTTAAAACTAAACTGTAAAATAACATTTATTCGATACCGTATCGTCGCTTTACTTTCCCAAAGTCGTGTCTTAAGGCACAAAGTATAAAGTATAAATTTTGAAGGCTGATTTCACATTACATTTCCTTCATATTCACACACTGACTTTTACTATTCTTAAAGTAATGCATCCAAATTAACACCCTTGATAAGAAATTTAAAATAAATATAAAGTTTTGCCACCACTGTTTATAAGATACGTGTTTGAAAAAGTAAGACATCGATATTGTGCATTGGTGCACCGATTATGTACAGACTGTTCGGACTTGGCTAATTTATGCTTAACCTTTTTAAGGTATACCCGGAATTTAATATTTCGTAGATTTCGTAGATTAGTGAAAAATTAATATTTCGGAGATCTTTGTGTTTTTTTATCAAGTGAAGTTTAGCCAATCGTGTTTCGGGTCGCATAGTTCACTACTGGTATTATTATCAATAAAAAAAAATTAAGTTGTATTAGCACTTTTCAACGTCGAAAACCAATTTTCCATGTGGCGAAATACGTTAAAATCTCTATTTTGTGTCTCACCTCACCTTATCACAAACGTAAAGGCTTAAATTGATGTGTATTGTATAATCGCGTATCTACTATGTTGACAATGTAGCAATAACGAGAAAAATAAACCTCCGTAGATTCAAAGACTTTATGGAGTAATTTTGGTATGTCATTAAGCAGTTCCGTCACCTGAGACTGACGTTGATAAATACCCGAAACCTTCTCCTTGGGGAACGCCCATTTCATGACAATTTTATGGCTTGAAAAAGTCTGCCGTGGAATGTTCAACATTTCCGTAGCACCCAATAGTGTTCTCTAGAATTATTTCGTAATTTGTGTCGTCAACACAAGCCTCCAAGGACCCTTGTCTAGTGATGTAACGCGACCGTCATCTGTTTTGGTGTGCTACGGTCCTTACTCGTACTTGTTAGTATTCATTGGACTATTCAGTGTAATGAAACTATTCATTTGTAGAGGTTTATAAATCAGAAAACGACCACTGGTAATTATTTGATTTTAAAATCGGGACTTAACGGTCCCTTCTAGACCATGGACGTTGCAACACGTCCGAAACGTCGAGGTAAATAAAAAATGTTTATACACGATTAAATCCCGATTTTAAAATCAAATACTGTGTGAAAATCGCGAAAGTCTAATCTATGACCACTGGCAAATTTGGAATTCAAGGATGGATTGGAATGAAAGAAATGATGGAATGAAGAAAGGGTGGAATGGGGTATTCGTAAAAAGCATTTTGAGAATAATCTAAATAATTCATGAATTTATAATATCAAGAGTAATAAAAAACGTCTTACCTATAAAAAGAATATGACAGAACATACATTATGATGGATAGAAAAGAAAGGTAGTAAGTCACACCGAGTACGTTTTAATCAGCAATAATAATCCTTGAAAATTAAGGTGGATAAAGAAGTTATACATTATCTATTTATTCACGTTTTAGAAGTTCATTTCATGTCACTTGCTAATTGTAATTAACCTATCAAAGGTTTATTTAGCAGTAAATCAAATATGTAAACTCAATATATATAAATTCCACTTCTATTTCATACAAAGATCAATACGAAATTAAATTATTAAACCTTCATAAAACTCCTCGCAATTGCAGATTCGATCAATTCTTAGTCCATGTGGTTTGTTAAAGTTTCTTTCACAATTTACCGGCGGTTAAGGTTTGCAATCATTGACCTTAATTTGTTTTGAAATTATGTTCATGCAAAATAAACATAAGTAATGCACAATGATGATGTACAATTTGTTACGAAGTACTTCAAGGTGAAAATCCAAAAACTTTATAATAAAGTAAAATTGGGTTTGAATGATACGCAACTATCGTGTTATCCCGGGGATAGTTGCTTGTCACAAATAATTAAACTTAAGCCGTGTTCAGTCCCGGGGTTCGATTGCAAGAATTGGTATAGGCAAAATTTCTATGACAGAATTACCATTGTCATGCTAATGCAGTTGCCACCGTTGTCAGAGCAACGCAGGTAGCCTCATAATTAACATAATGATATTACACTTAGTATGAGGCGAATTGAGCCGTATCGTATTTCACTATAACTTTGACACTTTTTTGTGTTCACTTTTTGATCGGTGTGGCAAAAATTTTTTTCCCACTAATTCACGTACTTCTCTGTGTTTGTGACAGCTAGTTTTATTCACAATTCGTCGTTAATACTGAACTCACGCTTAATGATATCAGCAGCTTTTTCAGCTATGACCAATGTTGTAGCCAATGTATTACCACCAGTTATAACAGGCATTATACTAGCATCTACTACTCTTAATTTCTCTATACCATGAACTTTTAAATTGTCATCGACTACTGATGTGACGTCATCTCTTTTGCCCATTTTTACTGTTCCTACTGGATGATATACTGTAGTGGCTACGTGTTTAAGGTAGCACACCCAATAATCTATTTCTGACAAATTTGAACATGCTTCGATTTCCAATTTAATAAGTTTCATCTCTAACATTTTAAACGTTTTCGTAATCTCCATTTTTTTAATAAGTTGAATACTTTTCATATAAACCTCTATATCTTCAGGATGTGCAAAATAATTAGTTTTAATCACAGGATCTGACTCAGGATTGTTATCTTTTAAAAGTATTTCTCCTTTTGATTTAGGATGTAAAGCACTCGGATGAATCATGAATATGTCGCTTACTTTATTGATTTCTTTAATAACCGATATAAATTCGTCTTTATAACCCATTCTTTTCATGTTTCTTTTCAACATAATTGTATCATCTTTCACATATTGCGAATGATAAAACTGGAGATCAGGATAATTATCGTTATTTGTATCGACAAATGTTAAAAAATCAAATATGCCAATGTTTGCAAACGGTCCGGTTCGTGTCAACATGTATTGTACTACAAATAAGTTTAACATATTTACAGTTAGTGTAGTGCTTAAGTTTGTCGTGAAAAACAAATGCAAAATTGAATGGTCTTGCAAGTTCTTGCCAACCGGAAGATCGACTAAACACTTTATATTTACCTTTTCTAGATGTTTTCTAGGACCAATACCTGATAACATCAAAATGTGTGGTGTCATAATAGATCCTGCCGATAATATGACTTCCTTGGCGGCTCTGATTTCCATGACAATACCGCTTTTATGTTTAACTTGCACTCCAACAGCTATTTTACTATTAGGTTCTATTAATACATTTTGTACTTTAGTATTCTTCATAACATGCAAATTCTTGAACGATTCGAGAAAATGTTTAGCAGTATTTAATCTCTTTCCACCCTTAATCAATAATTTAGCTACTTTAGTCCCTTCTAAAGCTTCATTGGTTTCTTTGTCTTTAGTAGTCAAACCTATTTCTTGCCAAGCTTTGTCAAGTACACTGTAGAAAGGATTTTGAATGGATGTGTAGTTATTCAAACCAAATTCTTTTTCAAGATTTTCAAAATAAGGCCTTAGGTCTTCATAACCCCAACCTCTGTTGCCATGTTCTTTCCATTTCTCATAATCATTTGGATGTCCTCGTACATAAATCATGGCGTTTATGGAACTCGAGCCTCCTAAACCTTTTCCTTTGCTCCAGGTGCAGGCATTGTTCTTAAATCCAAGACAGCTATTTCCGTCAGGATGAGTTTTGTAGATCCAATCTAAGTCAGAGTCTATGGCATGAAGTAATAATCCTGGAATCTGAAATGAATTATGTCATAATATTGAAAAACGTCATGAATAACAAATGCAGATAACTATTATATTAATGACTCCTATAATCATAATCTGAACTATTGAAAAATATACAAACCTCGCTGTCCAAGCCTGGATCGCCACCTGCCTCAATAAGCAGCACTGACCACGAGGATTTGAAGCTCGCTAGACGACTGGCTAGCAGAGATCCTGCTGAACCCGCTCCGACTACTATAAAATCGTATATCACAGCACCTGTAAAATGAAAAGGTTTTCATTATAAACACTTATATTTTTGGAATATATAACTATAATTAGTAGTTATGGTTTTTTTTTATCAAAAATAAATATATCTCTATGTGTATCCCTCTCTTTTTTCTTCGTAGTAAGCTTATAACTTCACAGTTAGCAACTCAAAGTATATTCAACAAAAAGTATATTCACATATAGCAACAATTTTCTCACTTGCCTGTACTTCCAACAATGTGATCAGCACGGTCTGTCGGCCAACGATAATCGTCCAAAATAGAGCAATGAGCAGCAACTACTGCAGCAATAGCTCCCGCAAATAAGCTACCAGATGCACCACCAAATGCCGATGGACACGTGCTAGTAATATTTGCTTGAAAGGCTTCCATATCTTGTTATCTAGGCCCTGATTAGGTAACAGTATTGACAACTCTAAAGTTCTATACGTCACGATTTTGCTTAGAATTTTTTGAAATTGATTATTTGTATGCCCTTGGTATAAATCTTCGAATGAAGTCAATAACGATGTTTTGCTAATTTATCAATAGATAAATTTCTAATAAGAAACGTGTTAATTTTAACTTTAAAGATATTTAGGTAAAGCGCACTCCATGCAACTGGTGGGGCGTAGTGTATAAACCATCTGAACGCAATAATTTAATTTATTAATAACTTTTAGGATATCACCATAGTGATGGCATGGTACTAGAAGAATAATAATAACTGCCTCCGTGGCCGAACGGTTACCATACCGGACTGCAGAAGACCCAGGTTCGATTCCCAGGCCGGGAGAAATATTTGTATGGCCTACATTTATTTCTCTCGTGACTTTGGGTGTAATTTGTGGTTGTCTATGTGTGTGTCCGTGGCACCCGCGACACACGGATTCCCCAGTGCGGGACTATGTTGAGTGTGTGCGTTATTATATATTTTTTTAAATTACAGGAAGACCGTGACGGAAGTTATTTAGATCAGATAAAGCAAAAAAAATGCCTTTAAAAATATATAATAATAAACGGTAAGTTAAGGCGCTGAATAGAGGTGTTGGCGATTACACCACCGACAAGAGCCTCACTCTTAAATAAGAAGAAAAGTCTGTAGTAGAAATTGTAATTATCAGTTCCAATCAATTTCAAATTTCTTTGAATCGAGACTCATTACCACTATTGTATGAACTGACAGGACAAACTTCATGAAGACAATGTAGAAAGCCAAGATATGCTGCAAATATTAAATTATTGTATGAGCATTTTGTGTATCCAATTTTATTGCTAACAAGTTTCCTCAAGGCTCTAATTGTTTTCTGAGTGTTGTCTTTTTCTTACACGTAATGAAATCAGTGCCTTCACTTACCATGTTCTTGAAATAGTATTGCTAATAGTTTATTCATTGCTGAAACTGGAATTTAATCCTTTTTTTCTATCCTGTTGTATTTTATGTTGTGAGTAATTAATGACTCTATTACTTGCTGAATATTTGAGAAACAGGTCTTATTGGGGCTTGCGATGTGCCCCATTGAATACAGAGATTTAAATTAGATGCAAGTCAAGTACTATACTAAAATAGGAGTAACAGACTATTTCTGATTGTTTTCCTGAAATTCCCTCACAGTCGGGCTAGCCAGTAAAGATGATTCATATATAATTTCTATATAATTATATAATATTGTTGAATCTTAGGCTATGCGTACCTTATCTAAAAAGACTCGGATACTCCTTTATGGAACTACACTACTTTACTGCTTGGATGTAACCAAACCTATGCGTTGAAAATCTTTGTGTACATTTATTCAAGTTTATTTCATTCATAATAAGTAATCTTTTGTCATTCTTATGTTCAATAGAATATGTTTTTAAGTTGTTTTTGATAGGAATCTCAAAGATTCCTATCTATTACCGGTTATTATTACAAAAGAAATATAGTAAGTCTTACAACAGGGAAATAAAGTGTTTCTCACTATAGTGCAATATTTCAAACAAATGGTTATATTTTATTGGCAACTTGTACATTAATGCTAAGTAATTTGTCTGGTTTATTATAAGTTTCAACAATCAATTTTTTGCTAATAATTCCTGTCGTTTGATTTCACTCATCTTTTATTTACATGCTTACTATTCTATAGTTCCGTATGTCGTTGTAGCCACGATTGCTTAATCATATCGGCTCCTTTTTCTCCAATCATTACCGTAGGTGCATGTGTGTTACCTCGAACGATGTTAGGCATTATACTGGCGTCTATCACTCTTAGATTCTTCACTTTTCGTACTTTGAGTTCACTATTCACCACAGCAGTTTCATCATTATCAGGACCCATTTTAGCTGTTGACGTAGGATGATACAAAGACGTTGTCAATTCAGATGACCAACATTTCAAAAATTCGTCAGAATTTTTATCATATTTCCTACACGCATCTAGGTCTAACCATACTTGTTCGAAACCTACACCTTTTATTGTTTTTGTTTCACCGATTTTTAAGCCATGTTGTTTAAAACTTCTCATTATAGTCTCTAAGTCTTCAGGTTCATGAAAATAATTAGCATAAATTAATGGATGTTCGAATGGATCTGTACTTTTCAATAAAATCTTTCCTTTAGACTTCGGACGTAACAATACAGCAAACGCTGATAATATTATATTTTCTTCATTTATTTCTTGAAACTTTTTTTGGAATTCATCACTCATCTTGTGTTTACTATATAAATCCAGAAAATTAACTGTATTTGGAGGGAAAAATATGTAATGATATTGCATATCTGGGCTGGTTGCTTGACGGTCTGTAGTGTTCATGAAAGATATGACTCTGAACGGTGAAGTGCTAGCTAGTAGGCCTTTCCTTTCAAGCAGAAATTGTACAAACATTCCCACAACGTTGCCGAAAGATGTCATGCTTTTATCAGCTGGTAATTTATGGTATATAGGAACGAAAGGATGGTCTTGTAGATTTTCTCCTACTGGCAAATCAGCTTTGACGTCAATGCCAAGTTCTTCTAAGTGCTTCTTTGGTCCTATACCTGATAACATTAATAATTGTGGAGTATTAATCGCACCTGCTGATATAATAACTTCTTTTCTAGCATTTATTCTAATTTCCTGGCCATCTTTGTTTACTACTACTCCACTGACAATATTCGTTCCTGGCTTAAACAATAATTTGGTTGCCAGAGCGTGTTTGAGCACATGAAAGTTTTTTCTATCCTTGATTGGTGATAAAAACGCTCTAGCGGTGCTTTGTCTAACTCCGTTGTAGACATTAGTAGCACTTTTAGAAATACCCATTTGATTAGCCCCGTTAATATCGACTTCAAGTTTAAGTCCCAGTTCTACTCCAGCTTGGATAATCATCTTTTCGAAGTCGTGTAAATCTTCCTGGCTTTGATCTACGTACAAGTAGCCTCCCTTACTGTGGTAAATTTGAGTTGTGTCTGTAAGAATTTCGCTATAATTCTCGCTTTTTTTGAAGTAGGGGAGGACTTCTTCGTAACTCCAGCCTTTATTCCCTGCTGCAGCCCATTCATCATAATCTAACTTATTTCCTCTAACGTAGAAAATACCATTTATGCTACTGCAGCCTCCAAGAACCTTTCCTCGAGGCCACGCGCAGTTTTTGGTGTTATAGCTTCTACAGGCATTTTCTTGTGGTACATTCCTGTACCCCCAATCTGTACTGGAATCGATATTGCTGAAGAATACCTGAGGTATCTGAAATGGTACAAAATAACTTACGTTATAATCCTTCAAAAAGTCTATTATTATTTCTATCGTCAAGCAGTAACGCTATAAGCAAATAGAATTTCTAAACTTCATGTGTCAGCGTAACGGGATCAGTGGCAGAGCCCTCCAGAAAGCTCTGAGTAGATTGTACTGCAGCTATTATGGGTAAGCGTGTCGTTAACCACGAGGCGACTGGTCATCATAAAAAACTGATTATTGCTACTTTTCCATCCTAAGGCTCAACTCACACTGGCGCAGATTCGAAGCGTCGCGACGCATCATTATTTTCGCATATAGCATATTCATCTCTATTTTCACATTGTTAAGGTACAAATTTGTGTTATGCAAATATGGAATCGCGCGCCGACGCGAGACGACACACGCCTTCGCGCGTCGACGCTTGGTTAAAGTCGAGCGGTTTCGCGCGACTCTTGCGCGCAGTGCCCCGAGGACGCTAATGTGAGCATCGTCGCGCGATGACGCGCGTCGCCATGCGTTGTAGTTGCTGTGCTGTGTGAGTTGAGCCTAAGGCAAACGCTTAGAGTCGTAATGTCCTATTTCAAAATCTATTTAAAAAATGATAGGTCAAAATATGTAGTAAGTATTTTTTAGAGATTTCATTTTTTTGTGTAGATTTTTTGTTACCCCTGTGAAAGCTACATTGCATCATATATACAATCTTACTACTTTGCCACTTACTTCAGTAGATAAGGTTGGGTTCCCTCCAGACTCTATGAGTAAGACCTTCCAGTCGAGAACTTCGCTGAGCCTATTCGCCACCACCGATCCAGCTGATCCAGATCCAACCACAATGAAATCGTAATTAGGATCTGAAATTTATTATATATCATTACTGTATAATCGATTTTGAGGTTATGATTGTCAGTGTATTGATTTTTTTTATGGAAAAGAAAACTTTTTTCGATTTAAATTATATTGATGCATGCAATAGATGATTTCACCTGAAAGACGTTCCTTCCTTCGTTTGTGCTTGTCGTTTATTTTAGCATTAAGTGCATACCCCAATAGAATTATTATAAAGGCGGTGTAACTTACCATCAATAACAATTTTTACAGCGTCGTCAGGCCACAAATGGTCTCCTACCAAAGCGCAGTGCGCAGCCATGATGGTCTGCAGCGTTTGCGCAACTGCAGGTAGCAATTGGTAGCTGTTAACAATAGTCGTCGTGAGCGCCGGGTCGCATGCCCACGTCATTTTGCATAAGTTTCTGAAATTGTCAATGTTTGCGGTTATAGTATTGTTGGTTGTGTTTCTTGCCTGGTTGTGTTGCGTAGTATGTTGGCTTGGAGATTTGCACGCTGTTCAGACCAGGTCAAAGTAACGATCTGTAAGGTATACTGTCAGACCCCTATCATCGTCATCGCGTCATTCGCGTTCAATACAAAATATTTTTAGAGATACGAGGGGCGACTGAAAGGTAATCTCTGGACTATGTCCAATTAAAAATAATACTCACCACTATGGTGACGAATTCTTCATTTATTATATTTTTAAAATTAGTGACACTCTTTTGTTTATTACGTCTTGCCGTTTAAAAATTTTGTAAAGGAGCAACAACTTTTTTTATTTATTTTAGTAACGAATGATGTAATAAGTGTAAATTTCTATGTACGGACGATGGCACATCAGACTACACATTTTTGTTCGAAAATCGCCTCCAGTGCAACGAAACAAGATACGTCAATGTGTTCAATGTGTAGCTTGATGTGCTGGCGTGTGCACATTCCCTATTACATTTCAAATCGAAATAAAAAGTAGCCACAGTCGTCTTTTACTTCATACTTAGCTTGACCATTTTTCAGCCGCCCATCGTGTATATTTAAATTATCGAGATACTGTAGTGCATCGGAAATGTTTTTATTAGCAGATGGGCTTCTGCTGTGCTCAGAAAGAGAGTTCTCAGACAGGAAGTGTTCGAAAATACTAATAGCATTATAGCTGCTATAGCTGGTAGTTACGACTCGTCCGTGCTGCCACAATAGCGAGCTTTACACAGACACTCTATCGCGCGTGATATAGCAATCGTGCGCGATTGAGCGCGCGTGTAAAGACGTTGGAAGGGAAAGAACGCGCGATTGCACTCATCAGTCGCGAACGCAATTGCGCATTCCAACACGCGCCATTTTCACGGGGTCTATCCTGCGCTATTAGCCTTTACACGGACACTCTTTCCGTTGTAACAAAAACGAACACGAGCAACCGTGCGCGTAAGAACGTTAGCTTCAAAAATTTGAAACAGGTAATCGCGCCCGATTGCGCGTGCAAGCTTTCCCGCGCGCAAGCTTTCCCGCGCGCAATTTTGTACGCTCCTTATCACGCGCGATAGTGTCTGTGTCAAGGTCTGTTAGGTCTCAGTTATAATAGTTAGCAGATAATGGTATTTATTTGATGTTAAAATGCGTTAATGTTATTTAATTTCTTATTCTAATTTTAAAATGTTGTATAATGACAACATTTTAAATTTAAAGGATTAGTTTTCTGAAATAAATAATAATTCTTATTATTTGTGCAGAGTACGCCAGGGTAGATGCTACCGCTTTATCGACTACTAACTCCAAACAATGAGTCAAAAGGGAAGGGTGGTATACCTAATACAGACTACCACCCTTCAGTAGCTCCCATGGGTGAAACATAAAATCTCCTGTTTCTATCGCGATTGTTAAGGTGGGTATCAATTACGTTCGCGCACCGACTGTGCTCCGCCATCTGTAATTGCTCCATTAGTGGATACGTTCCCATACAACGTTGTAAGTTCTCATGCACGCTCTGCGGTGAGTGCTCCGCGTGTTGGTGGTTTTTGCGCGAACGCAAGTAAGCAAGTCGTTTTTGGGTGTCACGATCCGCGATCCGCTAAGATTTTTTAAGTTACCGCGAATTCATCGCCATGAAGTGGTCCGAAGAGAAATATTTAGCTCACAACAAAACAATCAATTGAAATGTATGCCGCACTCTTGTTACTAATTCTGAGGACGACATGTTTGCTCAACGTTCAAATAAAAACTGTGGACCAGATGCATCTGGTCCACAGTTATAAGAAAACCGAATGGTTTCGGTTTTCTTATAGTGATGCGCGTAACGTCTCAGATACCGTAATGGATATCCACTTTACACATCGGAAATGAAACTATATGTTCCAATCGAAATCGCGTATATTTGTTTTTTCAAACAAACCAACGTTTCGGGCTCTTAACAGGTCTTTTTGTCAGTGTCTCCTGTGTCCGTTCGTAATTACATTTATTTATAATTTATTTTTTTTATAGCCTTTTTTTAACCTAAGCTTAAAATACTTTATATTATGAGTTACTAACTGATTTCAATATTAAAGTATAAGGTGTTCAATTTATTTTTGTGTAAGGACAGCTACTAAAAATAGGTAGGTACAGAACGTTTCATTTGATCCCTTTGTAGCTTGAATGAAATAGATCTAGATAGGTTATATACTGATTTGTTAAATGTCTGATTTTGATTATGAAACTACAAATAGCTCAAGGGCGATGCAGGCACAATAATATCTAGGAATGGGGCAGTTGCCCAGAGATAAAACTTGACCTGAGACCGTGGCGTATTCTAAAATAATTCAGTTATAATAACCTAATTTGCCTTAATGACGTAATTGACTTCTTAACTTATTATTAAAGACTTCGTTTAGGTTAACGGTGTTACCAAGAGAATAAATTGCTAAGTAATTGTCAAGGACAATGATAGTATATGTTTTCATATATTAGTATTTTTAATGGCAAATTTTGATCAAAAATACTAAATATGAAAAAAGCGCAGTCACCATACTATTTAACATCACATAGGTCTTAGTCTATATTCTTTAATTTCAAAACGCGCGGTCAACAGGTACACTCTCAGTGCCTATAATAATAAAAGCGAGGCGCGACGCGCGAATAACGCAGCGATAAGGCGGCGATCCCTAAGTAAGTAACTAAAACACTTTTGTTATGGAAATCGGAAACAACGACGGTACCACAAGCACACAAACAAAAGTTGGATGTTCTACATTTTCCGGCCGGGGATCGAACCCGGTACCTCACAGATAGCGACACCATGAAAACCGGTGTGCAAGCCGCTCGACCCGACCACTGAGGCCGTCATATATGAAGGAATGTGTGGGAAGGTACCGGCATTGCTAATGGCGTCGTCAGCCAACATATTTATATTATTTTTACAAAACCACCGCACATAGTCATTTTTACTTGACGTAGGCGAAATCATCTATTATTTCGATGGGGCCGTAATATTTAAAAGAAGAAGGAGAACGAATGTATGAGTATCAAGACGCAAGATTCGAATATATAAGTGGAATGAACTTTAAAGGACTTGTGTAACATACAAACTAGATACAATGCAGTGTCTGCGGGTATTCCGAAGACATTTTTGGCTTGTATCTAGTTTGTACGTTTCATGGGGCATTCATTAACCATTATTCTGCACTGTAGTCCGCCTTGCCGTCGGCTGCGTAATGCAGGATTATGAATGTAGTCAAAGCCATCCTGCAATCCTGCGAGATCCATAAGTGGGCCATATGCAGGATGGTGTGCGCGGCGGACTGCCGTGCAATTAGTGAATGCACCGTTTGCAATTGGCACAATGTACATTGTGTTCGCCGACAATGTACGGACAACGGCACATCAGACTACACATTTTTATTCGAAAATCACCTCCATTGCAACGGAACAAGATACGTCAATGTGTAGTTTGATGTGCTGGCGTGTGTACATTAAGTTTATTGCTTTATTATGAACCTTTATTTCGCTGATAGTTTAATTATATTCTAAATGTTACTTTTTATTATATGTTCAGTTTTCAGCGTAGCCTCAAACTTTTCATGCTAAACCGTATTTGCTTCTTGTGTGATTTTTTTTAAGTTTTTTTATAGCCCCGTACTAGGGAATCCCTGTATCGCGGGTGCCATGACACACACATAGACAACCACAAATGACACCCAAAGTCACAACAGAAATAAATGTAGGCCATACATTCTCCCGACTCGGGAATCGAACCCGGGACCTCTGCGTGGCAGTCCAGCATGATAACCGTTCGAACATGGTTCGGCAACGTAGGCAGTTTTGAACTTACCTCACTACTAGTCACCCAGTAATTAATATGTTTTATAAAAAAAGACAAACTAGCTTTTAGCTTTCGAAATATTAACCTGAATATACGTATACTTTTGACACTTATGAAAAATATTGTGGACAAAACCATGTCATTAAAGTTTGAAGCATGGAGTTATTAGTTCATTTATGTACATAGAAAGAAAACCGCCACTAAATATATTGTAAAACACATTTACTGGCTATGCTACTAAATTTAAAACATGTTGTATATACACTGTTGAAGTGCATAGTTAAACAAGGACCTATGGTCATAATTATAATGGTCAAATAAATCCTTTAAGCCAGAAAAAAAAAGAATAAACCGTTCAAATTGTACCTATACCTATTCAAATCACTTTAATAATCGAATTTAAGGGAAGTAAATTATTACGTAGATGGTCATAAATACCCATTGCCGAGTTGCCGAGTGCCTGGATGGCTTTAACCACAGATCAATGGCTTTAACCATGAAATATATATTTTTTTTATTCTTCTTCCCCAGTCCTGTCAACCCAGTAATAAGAATGCAGTAATGTCAATGTTCACTCTAACACAATCAATAAAGATATACTCGTATTTTTAACGACCGACTTCAAAAAATGAAGAGGTTCTCAATTCGACTGCATTATTTTTTTTGTATGTATGTTACGCGAAAACTCCGGTTATAATAATGATTGGTGAACTGATTTTGATGATTCTTTTTTTTTTTGCTGGAAAGTCGGTACCTCAGTATTGGTCCAATTTAAATTTGAAGAAAATATTCCACCTCTAAGGGTGGCACACTAGGGGATGAATCGGGTTTCGCGCACTTTCCAGTAACCGATTTCAATAAACCTTGGCAAATAGATGTAATTCCACGAACTTTTGAGATCGGTTTTTAGTACTCTGTTATTTGAAGGTACAAGCAAATCCTATGAAAGTCAGAACTTCATCAGACTGTACCGCTGGAACGTTACTCTGATTGGATGTTGGTAAGCTATAACGTGTCTACCAACATTATCATAGTTTTGCGAAAATAGCACCTAAAGATTTTATCTGTCGTTTTTGATGGTTTGTTTCAAAATTTCCTTGTAGAATGAAAACGTTTGCTGAATGAATGGTTTACGTGTAACATTCCTTTTGATCAAAAGGAATGTTACACGTAAACCATTCACTTACATTTATTCACTGTAGTCACAGTACCCCACAAATACATATGTTTTCGACCTTGCATTTAGTTTCTTACGACTTATCTGGGAACATAAGCTACGTAACCAAATATTATTGTAAAGTTTTTAATAATTATTATAATGTTTTTTATAAAAAAAAACCGTCCTCAAAATTTTGTGGAATTACGTCTATTTGCCAAGTTTTTTGACATCGGTTAACGGAAAGTAGGTGAAATCCAGTAAACCAGATTCATCCCCTAACCTGCCACTCTTAGAGGTGGAATATTTTCTTCAAATTTGAATGTAATCACTAATGAGGTACCCCTTTTTCAAGAAAAAAACAATCATCGAAATCGGTTCACAAACGTCGGAGTAATCGCGTAACATACACACAAAAAAAAAAAAAGTCTCTAATATTCCTTAAGTAAAACTGTTAAAATAGTTTAAATTGTCTGTAGTTTATTTGGTGTTGCGGTGAATATACTCGTAGTTGATTATTTTATGTCTTTTTATCAATCGAAGAAACTATTTAAATAACGGTAAAAACTAAACTGTATGTAATTTAAATAGAAAGCCTCTCACCTTCACACAGTTATATTGAAAATGACCAACTAAAAAAATACTGGCACAAAAAAAGAAGACACTTCCGGCGCTCCAAACGTGCACTCGGTGAATGCTAGCAAAGTGTAAATATACCCAAGTTAAACTGGTTTAGATTGTTAATAACTCAACTTATAATACTATAAACGGATAAATTTTGTTTATGTTATGATACGTTTTATCTATTCTGTTTGTATGTAGGTGTCATAGATAAAAAGATGTAATATTGTGTAATTTAATTAAGGAATATTATATTGATTCACGGCTTGATGTATCGGGACACATTCGTCTTTTGTGGGCACGAGTTCTTTCGCCGTTCGTCGCGATAGGTGAATGCGGGTTGTAGACGTTTTATTTATTTATTTACTTTAATTATGTCGTTGTTGTTATGTTACGTTATTTATGCCTTCGAAGCAGTTTCTGTTTAGTCATCTTTGCTGAGCTACCTTCGGGTTGATACACCCGGAGCTTGAACATCGTCCGGACTAGGACGAAGTATTTCTGCTACCTTCGCTGCACGGCTACCAATTGCTCCTCGTCCTGTGGCCTTCCTTCTGCGCCGGCAATTATGTGGATTATTGAAACATGTTTCCGAAGATATTTTTGATCAGTTATGTCGGAGATGAAGATTTCCTAACGATATCTATTAAATTAGTAATACAGTGACAACACTGGTGATCACGAATTTCCTCCACATAAATTCATGATCCTATTTACTGCCCTGCGCTAATTGTGGATACCAATCCATGTTTTTGAAGACATTTTTATCAGTCATGTCATAGATGAAGGTTTTCTTAAGATTTTCTGGTTTGCAGATTTGCTCGATGTATGTACGGTGAAGGTAAAGGTCACTCTTTTTAGAGACCATTGCACACCACTGTGCGCGGGTGTCTATATATATATATCAGATATATATATATATATAAGAGGGATTATATATATATATATATATATATATATATATATATATATATATATATATATATATATATAATACATAGATACATATATATGTATATATTTTCCAAAACCTTCTTTTTGTAGTAGCGACATAATAAATAAATTTGTCAACCAAAGTAAAATTTTCAATTTTCCTAGGAACCGTAAAAAAATAACCTACAAAACTGTCGTAGTGATTCTCGCGCGCCATTACCAGTGTCGTCATCAGATGAAATCAATCCACTCACTAGCTCGGAAAGGCTTTATTTTTCATTAGAAATCTACGCGCAAAAGCGATTTTTCCACGCTAACGTGGAAAAGGTTTTTGTGATTCGAACTTGACTATGGACTGTGGTGTACCTAACTTTATCTTTCGATAAAAAAAACAATGACACGTTTGACTACGCGATTTGTCGTACATTAATATGTAATATAAATCTGTTGGTATATTTTATTATTATTCTTGTTGACATTAAATTGACAACGATAACTCATTTTGTTTATTAAAACTTATTTATTATAGTTCAAATGTTTTCCTTTCACCTACCATTTTCCTCGCTATAGTGAAGTGGAAAGTTGTGTGTTTAGCTCGACAGCAAACGTGGCTCTCGTGACTCGCTACACTCAGAATTCTATTTTTGGATCCTGAGATCTTAGAATCCTACGCTTGCTCAGGTTTCAATACAAGCACTCGCGTCAAGCAACAACTTTGCAGCCTTGCGTAACAAAAAACTATTTTACCGTTTCATTCTTTAATACATTGTGTCTACTCCAACGAATCATTTGTTCAGACTGTAATTATCATTAATGTATTGATTTAGTTTATAGCATTGACGTCATTGGTCGTAATTAAGACGTGGTTTTTAATTTGTCAATTATGTTTTTTTTATATCGACAACTAGGTTGCAAGGAGATTCAAGTACAGTCTACGACATTATAGTACGAGTACAAGAAGCAGTAAAGCTTCTTGTGAAAGAGTTCATCCAGAGAAGTACCGCCACCTTACCTATTTCTACCGCCAAGCGGTAATGTGAACATTACTGCGTTCCTGTTTTGAGGGGTAAGGGAGCTGGTGAAATTACAGGCACATGGGACTTTTCAACTTATGTCTCAGAGTGATGGGCGCAGAGGCAGTGCACTTCAGATCTTTGCGATTTAAAACTATAAGTAGCACTGCAAGGGTAACCCATCACAAACTCGAATTTTTTTTTACCGAAATAACGTTTGTTCGAATTTTCATTACAACGAAAACCGAATTATAACGAAACCGTTGTTCTTTCAGGATATGTTGGATGTTTATTGCAAAGACACGATTAGGTTCGGTTGGGTTAGGTTTAAAAGAAAAAATATTTTCCTCTCAAAATTACCTTCGAGGTTATGAAAATTCGAGCAAATGTTATTTATGGAAAATGTCATTTCGGAGTACTGATAGTTAACCCATTGCAACTTAATGGTAACTTATGATCAGGCGTGTCGTTTACTATCAGACGCTCGACTTGCTCGTCCCTTCACTTAGTATTACAAAAAGAAATTGTTTGTTGAAAATGATTTCATTCTAAATAACTAACCAATAAAAATGATACAACGTTAACTTATATTAAAATACTGCATTTTGTACTTACAACTTTTTTTTATTAACAACCATTGATCAAATGAGATAGCCTATACAGGGTTATTTGTAAAATATTAACAACCACGTAGGACTGTATACTAACATCATAAACAACTCTTATTCCATGACTTTTAATAATTTAACTGATTTTACCTTCGTCAAAAACAAAAATATTTAAATACATGCATATACGGCGATAACACTGTTCGGTAACAAAAGATATCACGCAGGAGGCCTTAACAAATGCAGATCTAAAAAGAGTCAGATAGTATAACGAAAACTTAAAAGTTTATTTTTGACACATTATGCCTACATTTTTGGACCCAATTGTGTACCGAGGTACAACTTAGGTCAAAAAAATTCTAAAATTATGATGAAAATATCCATTCATTGAAATATTTTTCATCTGGTGGACTGTCAACAATTTCCGCTTTTCGAAGAATCGTGATTCCATCTTCTGCATGTCGCACCGTAGTATTAATATTGCCGATTTTAGGTTGTTTACCTATACAGATCGCACAGTTCCAAACAGCTCTATGTTCAGCAGTTTTTGTCTATCTTTAGGTCTAAGTTGAATGGAAGAAAAAGTAGATCCTTGTAAATTCTTTTGTAAAATGTTATGGAACAAAAGTTGTTGTTTATGATTTGAGTAATATATTCCTGCGGGTAGTATTTTACAAATAAACATGTATATAGTCCTACCATTAGGCACAGGGCTCCTCACATCATGAAAGAAATTGGGCTGTAGTTCTCGCGCGGGCCCAATACGTACTGGGAACTTCACACCATCATTAAATTGCTTTGCAGATGTGTGCAGGCTCACTATGTTTTCCTTTACAGAGAAGCGCAAAGTAAATTTCAAATTATATTTCGCACGTAAATTCAGAACACTAGTGGTGCTAGCTCTGAATCGAACACGCGATTCTCTGCTAGAGAGAGGGTATATTAAACCATTAGGCTACCACGGCTAGTAGATCATATACAAGTAGTACTAACGTATGTGTACATTTTTTAGGGAACTTTTCGATGTACTAATTTTTTGTATAAACATGAGTCTTGACCCCTTTTACAATGCTAAAGATTTTGCTGGAATAGGTTTTCAATCAACAATGTGACTGTGATCCGATTGTGCCGCTAGTATTTATACTGTGACCATAATAACTGACAGTTCAATTATTTTTTTTTTCATTTATAGGTAGTATTTAATAGACACACGTTTGCCAACAATCTCCTCCTCTATCACATAAGCGATAAAGTTACCTACAATAGTTGTATCTGTCTAAAAACTACCTAATCACCACAGACCACATAAGTATTAGCTAATCACTCTTGCCTTAAGTAGCCACAAATTGTACTTTTCGAGAAATACAGAAAGCAGTAGCGTAATCCATTCCCTACGCATTAAGAGGAGTGGTATGTCGACGACATAAGGATGGAGTATTCCAGGCCTAGTCGAGCGAAGGAGGAACGTTGACAGTGCAACTAAATTGAAAAGTTCCTACGCACAGTTTTTAAAATGTTTTATTATTATTCTGTCCCACTATTGGTCAAAGGCCTCCCATCTTTTTCCATTGATGCCGATTTTGGGAAAAATCTGGCTTGTCCTTTACAAAGGAGTCCAAATCATCCCGGCATTGCCGACGTGGTAGTGAGTCTCTGTTCTGAACTGTAGAGTTTCGAAGTCTACTCGATATAAAACCGATTTTCATAGTTGCTTCAGATAAGTCTTTTAAATTTTTTATTGAATTGATATTCAATTATTGTTTGTGAAATTTCACACAGTAATTACTCCACTAGTTTCTTATAATTATTAATACAAAGATCGAACACTCAGAAAAAATTCCTTCGATCCGACCGGATTCGAACCGACGTCTTCTAGCTTACCGTGCCAGACGCTATACCAACTAAGCCTTTTTATTTACGACAATGGCACTGTTACGAGGTTTGGTTAAAAGGCTAAACCAGTAGTAATTTTCATTTCGCAACCAGTAAATCGGTTAGGGCATAGCGAATGTCGTCAAGAATAATTTACATGTCTGTGGTGTCAATTTTAACATTGCTCTGTGCTCTGTTGCAGGTACGACATAATTGGTGAAATACGACTGTTTTGGTGAGAAATGAGGATGCGCGGGGCGCGGAACAGAGGACAGGCGTGCTATATTTATAGTCAGGTCTATCTTTTAAAATTATATGTAAGTCACCAAAGAGTTATTTAGCAGTAAAATAATATAAGTGTATTCCTTAACGTCTATTCTAAAATTTTGTGAGACGAGGACAACAGAGAGAGGTTGATTCTGGAGATTCGATAATTGTTCCGATGTGCGCGAGAAATAGCCAGTCGTCTCAACTGGCGTTTTATGTTAGTAGTTATGTTCGTGCACCGAAGCGCCTCTGCAGACTCTTCGCGAGAGCCTCTGCGACTATCGTAGACATTAATAGGGTTTTTGGGCCAGAGGCCATTAGTACGCCTTAAGAGTCTATACAACCTCAAATGGCTTTGGTTGTTTCCGCGTAACAGTGAAACTGTTGAATCTATTACTTTGGAAAAAAATATATAGTAAACTTGAGGATATACACTGAATACTTGGTGTGAAAACATGATTCCTAAAAATTTTCTCGATAGAAAAAAAAAACACAAACTTACTTCAAATTTTACAAGAAAACCGCTGTATTCAATAGGTGCTTTACATATACCAATGATTTTTTTATTTTATATATAGAATACGTAAAGTAGACGATATACATTTTCAAATGACTTTAATTTCGTTTGTAAAAAATTTAAATTCTGAAAGTGCCAGTGCTACTGCCTCTCGACCCAAGGAAAATGAACCCTATTAGTACGGGAAAAATTTGAATTTGTAGTGAGGTAGTATCGATTCTTAAGTCAAAATGTAATCTACATATTGTATACGTTTTGCTTTATTACTATAAGCTACTGTATTATTCTTAAATTATTGTTTGCATGTGTATGACGTCTTCTTGTATTATTATTATTATACCTTTTGCACTTATTTTCACCATAGATATAAAAAAAAGGGGAGATATATTACATATCTTACATAGCGTCATTACGCTATGTAAGATCGGGTACCGATGTCGCCACTTTTTAGCTTGTGTGTAATTCAAACTTTACTCTCTATTATCTATTACCATAACTTAAAGACTTTGATTGGGTAGGGCTTAAAACGTGAAAAATTACAGTCACTTGAGTAAGAGTTATATTACAATATTTCATTATTTTTTACATCCTGGTTCAGCCAGTCACCATCAGGTGGCGTTTTAGTAAAAATGCTACCAACTATTACACGTTAGATGGCGCTGAAACTCATTTTTCGTTACACTAAGGACTCACGGAGCGGTTTTCACCCACACCTACCGCGGGACCGCGACATCTGTAAAATGCGATAGTTAAGTATGTAAAATTAGTAGCACATTTCACGGCGCATTTTACGCCTGTAGTGGTGACGGTTACTCGCGGTTGCCGCGGCGGGGTACAGGACGCGATCAACTGCGCGCTTGGCGGCTGTCGTCGCCCGCGCACTTTGGCGGTCAGTTCAGGCCCAATGTGGTGCAGGCGCACGCGGGATGAGTTCTCTATTAACCGCGCGACTTGCGATTAACTCCCACTAACTTCGCGGTCCGTTCCGCAATCGCAACGGTTTCTTGACTGCAACCGCGGCGGCTACGTGCCCGCACAAACTTGCATGGTCGTGAGTATTGAAATAAAACCTTCCAACCAACCTTCTCTTATTTTGAACTCATTGCAAAAACTTAAAAATTAAAAATACTCTACGTTTGATCTACTAGTATAATGGAAGTTAAATATCTAAATTATCTGAAACAACATTACACATACATTTTTCTTTAAGCAACAGCAACATACAAATTGACATGAAATTGAAACAGTTGTCCGAAATATGAGTTGTGTTAAAGTTACTCGAAATAAAATGTTTACTAATAATAATAAAATGAAGGAAATCAATTTAACGTGAATGCTTTTCGCTTCGGTATTTTAGGGACTACAAAAATCATAGTAAGAAATTAAAACATTTCAGTAAAAATGTATGATCAATAAACATCAGTCATAATTAGAATAGAAATTTCTATGGAGACAAAAAAGAAAACATTGAATAATAATAGAAATAGTAACTAAAAATGCAAATAGCCGGTGAAATGTTATTTCACTGGTTTTAAAATATTTGTTTTCACTCAATTTTTTACTAGGTGTATCGCTACAACTTGGCATTTTCACGTCTTACAAGAGATCTTGTATGTACCTACAACGATCACCATGTCACCGTGGCGATGTTTGTAGGCGTGTTACCTCGATATGATCATTTTGATCATATCGAGGCGACACGAACCACGTCCCCATACCAAATATCCTCTTTTTTTCTATATCTATGACTTTCACTGACTAAATTTGAAAATTCAATATTATTCCAGTACTATTCCAATTTTAAATGTAATACAGTTCTTGTCACGGTGCTTTATGAATATTGTATGATTATCATGGAGAACTAAATGTTTGTATAACGAGTGAACACGGGCGGGCTCTCTGTCTCTGTCTGTCTGTCCGTCTGGCCGTTTGGCCGGCTGTCCGGCTGTCCGGCTGTCCGCGCGTGATAATGATTAACTAACATAATTAATTAATTATATAAATATTATTAAATGGTATTAATATACTTTTTCGTAAAATGAAGACTATTTATTTCTCCACAAAACATAGGAAACACAATACTTGAAAACTTACAGAAAATATAATTGAGTGATGACTAGCTGTTCGCTTGCTGCACCAAGCTCATATGCGGAGTGTGTACCAAGTAATAACCTACCTTAAGTAATAACTAGTAATGAGTTAAAATTTAAAGGTTGTGCGTGTGAAATTATTTTTTTTATTTATTTAATTAAGAATTTAAAAATTTTGTGTTGCTAGGGGGTTTAATTAGGGACTAGCAATGCTTTAAGTAATTTTTGTTGGATAAAAAATGTGTTGAATAAAATTTTAAACAGCATGTTTAATTGCATATCAAAGAACAAATACATCAAATCATGTCCATCAAAAATATCGTTTTCGTTAAGTTTTTTTCCCCTTATATTAGTTTTGTTTTAAAATAAAAAAATTATATTAAAAAAAGTTTATTTAAGAGTATTATTCATTGTTCAAAGTTTTAGTAAATACATTTACAAATGAAGTTCTTAAATGAATTGAAAGAATATTTACTTATCGTTCATATTAAATTAAATAAAGCGTCTCAAAATTGTATTATTATAAGATTTTATATATATTTAGATTCATAGCACAGAAGACAAATTTCCATTCTTTCATCAATTATATAGGCAAAGATTTGATTTTATAAACACAACAACAATTAACTACTCTTACATCTAGTAATAAACACTGGGATAAATACTGCAAATATTCAATAAAGGAAATATAAAACATTAAACAATTACTTCGTACTTCGTACCGTCGTAATAAAGCCAAACTTTACATTTTCTACCTTCAGGCGTTAAAACTTCTTTAGTTTCATAATACACAGGTTCTTCCTGATTGGTTGTTTCATAATCGAAAGACATTTGATTGGCCCATTGATTTTTATAAGGTTTCTGATTGAATTTAGTAAAGGGATACGGGAGCTGGTTGGCTACTTTACCTACGTTTATATTTGGAATGCTATAAGGATTTTGATTGGTAAAGGTAGGGTTTAAATTTGGAACATTAGTGTTGGATACCGGGTTGTAAAATATAGGAGATGGATAACGTTGGAACGCGTAATTTGGGTTTGCGAAGTATGGCTGTTGCGTTTGAGGGGTATAATCTTTAACAGCTTTGTTAACAGTTACTTTTGTAGCAACCTTTTTATATTCATTGCGTCTGGCATCTTCAATTCCATATTTTCTAGAAATGCCATCATCATCTTTTTGTTCCTTTTTTTCATTACCACGGGCTGAAGATAAATACTTAAAAAGCTCAGCTGTTTCATTAAAAACGTCAGGTTTGAAATGGATTTCAACTTTGGTTGGGGTATCGTCACCGGTCCCATGTCTATAATGAAGTGTACATGACGATGGTTCAGATATTTCTTGCCAGTCTTCCTTGATCATGTCTGAGGCTTTCTCTGCTATCATGATGATCGGTGCGTTTGTGTTACCATTCACGATATTTGGCATTATGCTGCCGTCGACAACTCTTAAGTTTCTTACACCGTAAACCTGTAAAAATTAACATATTACTTATATTCTGTGTGATTTAGAAAAACGTAGGTAGACTTACGTTTGTTTATGAAACAAGACAAGATCAAAGATCACGAGTTTGTGGCACCTACAATATTTATATGAGTAGGCATCCAAGTTATTCGAAAATATTGTAATATCTTCACAGTGGCAATGCCCCTCAGATCTTTGCGATTTAAAGCTCTGAATGACACTACAACTACTGTTGTGGACAAGCGTGTAGCTTACCATCAAGCGCACGACTTCATCGTCCCGTCACTTAATAATAATAAACAGGTTATTGTTCTTAGGTTTTCCTTTACCATAATTTGTTGTCTAAAGAAAAAGTTTACGATCACTGCTTTTTTGTTTACGTTTTTGTACAAATATCTACAAGCACATTATGGCGCACATAGTTACGTTTATGTTGATTGGAGATCTTTATCTATAGTTTAATTAGTGTTTGATAATATATAGAAAACTTCAACTTCAAGTATGCTTATTATACGCTGTGTTATAAACTACATTTTAGTATTATTTTATGCATCATCAAGTATATAACCAGAAATAGAGACGAAATAAGGGCCATCCAGCTCTGGCAACTCATCAGGCAAATGGGCCTTATGTCACTTTTAAATATCAACACTCGTTTGGACTAACATCACAAATTAGAAAGCTGAAATATGTGGGGCGCACTATAAGTTTCCAGAATGAATAAGAAAAAAATACTACAAATGGTCAGAAATGAATTTATATTTATTATATTTTCTCAAAATATTCTCAGTTAGCGTTAATGCACTTTTTCATACGAATGAACCAATTTTGAAAACATTTATGCCACTCCTCCGTGACAATCTCTGAAACATATTTTTCATACTCTTCGACAGCTCTTCAGTTGATAAAAATAGTTGACCGCGTAACTGGTTCTTAATTTTTGGAAATAAATAAAGGTCACATGTTGCCAGGTCGGTACTGTACGCGGGATGGCTCATAAGGTCAACGTTGTTCACCTTCAAAAATTAATTTGTCTGTCTGGCCGTGTGAGAACTGGCATTAACGTAGTGCGAGATGATACGTCGTTTATGGTTATTTTTATAGAGTTTGTCAATAACTTCCGGCAAACAAATGATACCAATCACTATTCACGGTACAACGATTCTCCAAAGTAGCCACATGTCCAGTTTTATTAAAAAAAGAAGCAATCATCCGCTTAGAGGCACTTTGCACGCGCGCCACCTTGGTTGGTTTCGGCTCATCTCGAAAGACCCATACGCCCGATTACTGCTTTGTTTTGAGATTGTAACTATAAATCCATGTTTCGTCACCTGTTATGTCCCATATCAAATTTGACGCCCCTTCGTTGAATCTGGTAAGTATGGCATTGCACCAAGTGACGCGATCCGTTTTTTGAGCCTCAGTCAAATTGAGTGGGATCCACAGAGAGCATAGCTTTCTCACACCCAAATGTTGAGTAGTATTGATTGTATTTGACTCATGCCTTTGCCTAAAGATGCCCGAATTTCATGGTATGTCATATGCCTGTCTGTTTTGATCATACGGCGGGCGCGCAGCATCGATGTTTTTGTTGTTCACAGCAGTGGGCGGGCGACCATCACGACATTCGTCACTGAGATTCACACGACCGCGTTTGAATTCTGTAAACCAGCTATAAATAGTCGTCTTGCATGGTGCTTCATCGCCAAAATCATTTTGAAGCCGAGCGAAGCTCCGCTGAGCTGTTTAATTACACTTAAAGTCGTAGAAAATCATACTACGAAAATTTTCACGAGTTAATCCATGGTGATGTAGACAACCAATATGTAACATGACGCCACAATGTAAAAACAAGTGACAGGCAGATGAAACAAACTGTATTCTACAGCCAAAGATTTCCACTTTCAAATGTTGTAATTAGTTTTTAAATATTGTTTATGTAAGTGGCCAGCTCCGGAAACTTATAGTGCGCCCTGTGTAGTACAGCGCCAACAACTGACCTGTCTGTACGTCTCCGTACATTCCAAAAATATTCTGTATTTATTGTAATAAAGATAATATCTCTAACTTTAACTGTTCCATTCGGTGGTCTGGAAAAATCAGCAAAATATCTTATTACTAAAGAAACGGAATCACATTTCATCGGTAATTAAATATGTAATTTTTCAATTTTCGTCCATTAAAGGAAAGCTCAAGTTAAAGAGATCGATTTGAAGTGGAACTATTGACAACACCCGTCAATTGTTTCGTATTCACCGTAATGATTTTCAGACTAGTTTTCAAACAAATTAAATGACATTTCGTCTCTATTTCTGGTTATATACTCGATGTTATGCATACAGTATATACTGGGTGTATATTCTAATTTACCAAAGAAATTGTAGGGGCAATAGTACTATATGTTATTCTTGCGCCTAGGCAACTGTGACCTCAAGTCTATTCACTTTTACTATAGGGACAGCAATGCAAAAAAATATTCCAGTTAGTTATATAACGAAATATTTGTATATTTTGGTTATACCAAGAATAGATTCACGATTTTACGCACTAACTCAAAAGCGTTTCAAGCTGTTGCGCCATGATGTATCCTCGCAAAAATTAAGACATCTCGATGTCTGCTGTTTCGTAGTTCTAGTCATTACATTAATCAACATCAACCCATTTGTACGTCCCACTACTGGGCGCGGGTCTCTTCTCAGGCGAGCATTTAGGCTATAGTCCGCTACACTGGCCCGACGAGGGTTAGGGACTTTACACGTTTTCCGAGGCTTGTCAACTTTCTTCGACATGCAGGCTTCATCACAATGTTTTCATTCACCGAAAAGCTAGTAGTAAAAATCAAATTAAATTTCGTATATAAATTCATTTTCTATATAAACTTTCTTCCGTGGCCGAACGGTTACTATGCCACTGACTGACTGACTGAAACACAGAGGTCCCAGGTTCGATTCCCGGGTCGGGAGAAATATTTGTATGGCCTACATTTATTTCCCTCGTGAGTTAGGGCGTAATTTGTGGTTGTGTATCTATTGCGGGGCTATGTTGATTGTGTGCGTTATTATTATCATAATTTCGAAATACTCTAGATGTGCGAGCCCGGATTCGAAAACATCTGCTTGACAGGCGATGGGTTAAACCATTATGCTACCATAGTTTTTTTCTAGTCGCCCTCTATCGTGCTAACCCTACTGGTACTCGATGCATTTGGTTCTCAGACATGTTCAGAAATGTTTGGGTTACTTTCAAAAATCGAATACGGAAAGTTTGTCATTTATGTACCGTACGACTTCTTCCCGGCAAAGGTCTGCAACGTATAAAAATCCATTAGTGTCTACTTCTCTAAACTTTTAAATCTGCCTACTAGTAATCAACTATGTAAACAGGCAAAAGAAAAACTCATACAGCCAACTGCCCAGTATTTGCGAGAATTAGAAACACCTATCTGTACCTCTTACTTAAAAAAAAGAAAATGGCGGGTAACCTTAAACTAAAGTGTTATAATATTCGTTTGTTTTTCGTCTTTTTTGTATTTAGGTCGCGAAAATCAGTGCTAGTGAGAAGAGCGATAACGAAAATACAATAATAGATACACATTGAAACACATCATCAGAAGTTCAGCAGACTATAATTATTAATGTACCTGGAAAAACAATAACATTTTTTTTTAGCAATTGTCTTAACACGTCAAATAGGTATTACTTGTAATATTAATTATTTCCTCACATTGTTTGAGCTTGACTCGTATTAATACAAGCCTCACTCGCGCTCGTCCTTATAACTCATACTCATTCAGCAATCCCTTATTTCCCGGCCTCTGCAATACTATTTATTAAGTTTAAAATACCAACCCTCAATCTAGGATCTACTACAGCTTCAGGATTCACAGCAGGTCCCATAGCACATGTCCCTACAGGATGGTATATAGTCAAGGAATGGTGCCTAGCCTGGCACTCCAGGTGCTCAGCTGACATGAGCTCGTAGTTCGCACAGCCAGGGTTACGGTGCGGGTTAGGACGTGCATTGAGCCGCTGCAAAGCAGGCTGGTTCACTAGCTCCTGAACTATACGGGCGCCTTCGATCTGAAATTTAAATATGAATTTATCACATCACGTTCTAGTTACGAATTCGTTAATAACTGACATAAATAGAGTCAAGTAATTGGTTGGTTTAAATTTCCTACTGCATCACACGTGATATTAGAGCATTGTCATTGGTTAATTTTAAATTCCTAATCAGACATTCTTGTCATAACTAACATAATCGTAACATTTTTAACGAAATTGAGTCTTTAACATGTCTGGAATCAGCATAACGAAATCTACAAGCCCCACTTTTCGGTTTTTTAATATCATATTTAGTTTTAGTTTTATTGTTAAGCAAAATAAGCGAAATTGACATTTGTCAAAGAAAAAAAGAAAATGTTAGGTGCCAATATCTCGAAAGTTCCAAAATGCAAACGCATTAGTTATGATAAGAAATGTAAATGCATTCTAAGTTGTTACAGTTAATTAGACGAGTAAATTACGCAAATTAAACATTGCGTAATGATAAAATCGGTTATCAATAGTATCGTAAACATGAATAATAAATACAATGTAATCAGTTGGACAAACCGCAGAGCAAAGACAAACTTAATTACGGGTAACAATAGTATTTAATAATATGAGTGCTTAGTGATTATATTATTATAAAAAACGAGTACTTTTGTCCTTAAATAAATGCGTACAGGCAGAAACGTTAATTACTAAGACGAACAATGATTGGAAATTAAACTATAAAAACAGGAGGTTCTCAATTGGACTGCATTTTTTTTTTCAATTATTTTTTAACCGACTTCAAAAACGGAGGTTTTCAACTCGACTGTATGTTTTTTTTTTGTATGTATGTTACGCGATAACTCCGCCATTAGTGAACCGAATTTGATGATTCTTTTTTATTGGAAAGAGGGTACCTCCAGTAGTCTCATTTAATTTTGAAGAAAATCATCCACCTCTAAGGGTGGCCGTTCACGCATGAAGATTCATTATTATAAATAGCGTCTAAATTTTATTATCAGGAGCAATTATTTTAATGGTTGATTTTGTTATTCTCCAATTCAAGGCGTTTTTCTCTCTCAATATACTTTGAGTAGTGAGAACCGATTTTTATTATCTCCTGTATCAAGTTCTGTATAGTGGCGAACTAGGGAATGAATCCGGGTTTGCGCACTTTCCGGTAACGGATTTCAATAAAACTTGGCAAATAGATGTAATTCCACATACTTTTGAGCTCGGTGCTTTTAGTATTCTGTACTGAGATTATTTGTTGAAAAGAGGGTACCTCAGTGTTGGTCCTATTTCAATTTGAAGAAAATATTCCACCTCTAAGTGTAGCAAACTAGAGGTGATCCAGTTTCACGCACTTTCCGGTAACTGATTTCAATAAACTTGGCAAATTAATTAATTTCACGAATTTTGGAGGTGGGTTTTTTTTTATAAAAAAACTTACAATTATGCGAATTAAATAACATAAACAAACAAAAAAAAGCAAAAATTTGAAAAGACTGTTATACGCGATTTAAATCCGAAGAATAGTATCATTTCCTATTTATAGCTGTCGCCAAAACCTAAGAACTCGATATGAACAATAATTTTAATCATTTTCTTAAATACATTTACTTTTTTAACTGTGCGGCTTTGTAAATACTTTTATTTTAGTGAGTCAAAATCAAAATCAAAATAATCTTTATTTCATGGGTAAGCATTATTTACACTTGAAATCGTCATATTGGTTAAACTCTACCGCTCATTCGTAAGGCAGATTCCCCTGAGAAGAATGAGCAAGAAACTCTTTGTAAATAACATTTGTACACATTTACAATATATTTTATTTTTGTTTTGAAACATCAGAGATCGCGACTACCTCCATGGACTAAACGGGTTACTACCACGGATTTTTGTCATCCAAGTACGCAGATGTTGCATAATAACCTTTAGTATAAAGTTTTTGTCTCACTATGGTTTTAAACCTCGTGAATGGCAAATTTTGTATATCAACCGGAATCTTGTAATAGAAACGCATACATTGCCCCTTAAATGAATTTGTGACTCTGATAAAACGACTATCAAGAACAGCTGGTTTATTTTTGTTCCTCGTATTAATGTTAAGTCGTTCAATATTTTTCATAAAGAAATTACTGTTCCTCTTAACATAAATCACATTTTCATAGATGTACTGTGACGCTAATGTAAGAATGTTAATTTTCTTAAACGTATCTCTCAAAGATACTCTGGGGCCCAGATTGTAAAACCGCACTTTCTGCACGACAAAGATTATATTGATATCGGCGGCATTACCCCAACGCAAAATGCCGATTAGTTTGAATAGTGTGTTACGGTAATAACTTTAACCTGAACAACACTGCGAAACAGGAATATAAAGATTTAATGTGTTTTATTATTTAAAAGTAGGTACTTACCATAACATTCACATCATGAGGATCAGAGTAATAATTCGGATATATACGCGGCGGAGAATAAGGACTCGCATCTCTGAGCTTTAAATAACCTCTGCTCTTCGGCCGCAGTAGCAACGGTACCACAGAAAACGATGGTTCGTACAATATATCTTCATATAATTCCGCATACGTCTCGTCCGTCAATCCATTAGCTCTTTTACCAAATAATCCACCGTCCATATTATCTGCTGTTGGTGCAATGAACAACTGAATATCGGGGTAATCTTCTGTGGGATCTTGGTATTTCGTATTAACGAACGCCATAGCTTCTGCTTCCATCATGCTATAGAACAAACCGTTTTTATTTATAGCAAAGTCTATAAGACTTGAAAGAGAAAGCACTGAACGTAAGTTAAAACAATAATCTGTTCCATTTGCGTAAGGATTATCGAATAAAAAGGAATGGCCACCCATCGCTACATGATCTTGAAGATTCTTTCCAACACCAGGTAGATTTGCTATAGGATATATACCAACTTCTTTCAGTTGTTCAGCTTCGCCTATTCCTGATAACATTAATAGCTGTGGTGTTTGGATCGCTCCTGCAGATAAAATCACTTCTCTGCTAGCTTTAATGATTTGCGTGTGTCCGTGTTTTGAAAACAACACACCATACGCTTTTTTGTCTTCATCAATGAGCACCTTTTCTACCAAGGAAAATATGCTAACGTGTAAATTTTCTCTCTTAGCAGCAGGTCTTAAGAAACCTTTTGCTGTACTGCACCTAAGACCATCTTTGACCGTTGCATGAGATCTGGTGAACCCTGTTTGCTGTGCTCCATTAACATCAAGTATTTTATAACCGAGTTGTTCTCCAGCTTCCAAAATATCCCTAGTAATCGGTTGTTCATTGTTGAAATATTCAATTGTTAATGGTCCACCAACGCCGTGATAAGGGCCATTATGGTATTCTGGAATCCTCATGTCTTCTGACTTTATAAAATACGGCAGTACTTCTTCATACGACCATCCAATGTTACCCATGTTGGCCCAATTATCATAATCTTTTTTATTACCTCTAATGTATAGCATCGCATTTAAAACACTCGAACCACCAAGCACTTTGCCTCTAGGCCACTTACACCGTTTATCAACCATGCTTAAGCAATAAGAATCACTGGGTTCTGTCACAAATTGCCAGTCTATAGATGATGTTTGTAGTGTAGGAAATAACACTGGCAACTCCGATAAGACATTCTCATCTGATCCGGCTTCTAAAAGTAAAACTTTCCAGTCAGGATTTTCGGAAAGACGACTAGCTAGCACAGATCCTGCAGATCCTGCGCCGACTATAATAAAATCGTAACAATCATAAAGATTCTCCACTGGTCTCACTCTGTGTTCTGCGTCCTCTATATCTGGTCTATATATATGTATAGCCATTCTCAGGACAATCAGGGCCCCCAAACCTGGCAATAGGCCGAATATGATTCGGGAAGAGGAAACCATAGATTTAATTGCGGTCGAGCCATCGCTTATCATTTTGCCGAACTGCCTTCGAAGCAAGCAATGTCGTAACTGGCGATATGAATTAACCATTCCGTCTTTGCTGACTTAGAAAATTCGTTGACAACATCAGGTATTGTTTTGAATAGAGTAATTATTAATGTAGAAGTTTACATGTAGAAAATAATAAATGAATAAATGTACAGTTATATAGAACTTGTTTGGTTGTATACTTTATTTCATGTATTAGCAGGTACGGGTAATCTACATTACTTAGAAGAAAAAAAAATGGCTGAGTAGGTGACAATATTCAAATTCAAACATTTTATTTCAGTGTAAGTCCATAGATGTTACTTACAAAAAAAATTAAAAAGAACATGCTCTGTAAAAAAATTGTATAGTCTATGTTAGTAATGAAAATTATCATAATACTAAATTTAGTTGAATTTATAATACGAAGCAAATTACGATTAAATAAATGAAATCGAATTACCAACCATATCAAATTTAGGCTATCAGCGGAAACGTGGTGTAACCCACATTTAATTTTCTGTTTCTACAATATTACTTCAAATGTTACTAAAGTACATAATAATTATTACATATATGCATGCTATTATCACGTTTAAAAAATATTTAATCATAAAATTTTTAATGCTTGGTGATGAGGCGAGAAATTTGTGTCAGGATCGTACCAAGTGAACTGTGGCCTCTACTTACCCCGATGGGATAAGGGTGTGAAGTGTACGTGTGGGGAATATTTAAGTTGCAAAATTAATTTCATTTTAGTATAAAATGCAATTTGGCCGTGTGGCGATATTTTTTATTTATTTCTTATTTCAAATATACCGAAGTCTCCAGTAGTAATCTAGCAACTTATGCAAATACATATTATATACTGTAGGCAGCTGCGTACAGCATATATATTCTGTGTTTATTTTAATATACGGGTAATATTAGTACAGTAATCGGGCACATGTCATTACTCTGTACAAACCTGTGTTACATTGCAGCGTCAGCGTTAAGTTACTTTGCTTTACGTTGCCATAAGTATTAATTATGATTTTAAGCAACTTATTACAATAAGTTACGGTTGAATTACCATTGTTACAACATTGGTACATAAATATTCAATATTAAAAAAATAAAAAGTCTTTAAACACACATTAACTTACAGGTTTATTGAAACTTTCACCACAAAAAACAGTCGGTTCACAATTTTAAACTAAGTTCAAAATAAATTACTTATAGGTACAATAAGTTAACAGTCACACTGTGGTTCAATTGCACACATAAAATTGAAAGGACCTAGAAACTAGAAATTACTGATTTTAGTTTTTGTTGACTTTCGTAGATTTCTAATAAACATACTCCGTCTAAAAGAACATTTTGCTATTTTCGAAACTCATAAAGATGATATTTTTTTAGTATAATTCAACGTAGTTAAGCTAAAAGGATCCAATGCACAAAATTATCAAAAAATGAGTTATATGTACCAAACGGTTCCTAAAGTCTAACCTCTTAGATCAGCAAAAAATCCAACATATAAACATAAATAAATATGTCTGGAGTTACATGATATTTGTAAATTTTGAAATAAAACATGAGTGAAACATTTTTAAACTTCAAACTGCCATATCTCGAAAGTGACTGGATGTGCATTGGATCATTTTTGTGTAACTACGTCCAATTGTTCGTCTAAAAAGAAACAACTTTGATTATGGGACACACAAAGCGAAAAAGAAATATACTTATATGACCAAAATGCATGGACTAGCAGATTTTGTTTTAAATATTTAAATAGCAAAAATTGTATATTTTCATGAGCACAGTTACCTTTTTAAAAAGTCCTATTTATTATTTTATAAAGACCCGATGAATCTTTATTTATAAAATGCACTGCCTTTCCAGGGTAATTTTTAATTCAACATAGTATAATCAGGAAATAAACGAGCTCGAGAAAAAAATATCACTTCGGAACTTTGTGTGCCCCCCACTAAATATTGCTGAAAATGACTGACTTTCAAAGTTCAATTCACTTAACATTCAGTTTCAGCTTTTAATCCTCGTATGAGACATTAATACTGATACGGACTCTCTTTTGTACATCACCATCAGGCGTAATATCTGGATACTCTCCTATTCAGCCAAAACTCCTTAATCATATCACTACCTTTCTCCCCTATCATGATTATAGGAGCGTTCGTGTTGCCACTTACTAGATTAGGCATTATACTGCCATCTATCACACGCAACCCTTTCACTCCGTACACTCTCAATTGAGGGTCAACAACTGCATCAGGGTCCCAGTATGGTCCCATCTTTGCTGTTCCCACAGGATGGTAAATGGTACAAGTGTACTGGCGTATCATGCATTCCCAATATGCGTCTGTATATCTTTGTACACTCACACAAGCAGGGAAAACGTGCTTGTTTAATACAGACCCATGACGCTGAAAAGCTTTCGTTCTTGATACAGCAACGGCTATCTTCACTCCTTCGACTAGAGTTTTCACATCCATCTCATCCATCAAATAATTCGGATAAATGTAAGGATAGTCGTAAGGATTCGCACTTCGTAACTGGATGAAGCCCTTGCTTTTAGGACGCAAAAGCATTGGTATAATACTCCAAACATCCATATTGTCTATAGGTCTAAACACAGCGTCGTAAAATGTGTCCATCAGACCGTGGACTTTTCGTAGCTGTTCGCCTCCGTCAGAATTTGTGGAACCAGATATGAAATGGAATTCAATGTCGGGAAAATCTTCAGAAGCATTCGCGTATTTTGTATTAACAAATGCAAGACCTTCCACTCCTCCCATTATTGTCAAAGGCCCTTCTCCTAACACGGCGTATTCCATCAAAGTGCTTACTGTATGTAGTCGATGTTCTACTATAGAAATTTCTTTATTGACCATAAACGCCAATCCTCCCAAACCTATGTGATCTTGTAGATTTTGTCCAACTTTTAAATTCTGTATCACTGGGATTCTATGCTTTGTCAATTCATCCGCCGGTCCTATACCAGACAACATTAATATCTGGGCTGAATTAATGGTACCTGCTGATAAAATGACTTCTTTACGAGCGCGGATACGATATACCATTTTATTCCTCACAAACTCGACACCGAAAGCAATTTTAGTCCGAGGGTCGATCATCACTTTAGTGACATGGGAATGCTTGGCTATATGTAGATTCTTCCTGTCTTTTGCAGGTCTCAAAAACGCCTTAGAAGTGGAACATCGACTACCACGTCTCAAAGTCCCTTGGGCGACCATAAATCCAGTTTGATTCTCTCCATTTATGTCTCTATTCGTGTACCCAAGCTCTAAACCCGCTTCAATGAAACTGGAAACTAGAGGTGTATGGTAAGGTGCTTCAGCTACTGTCAAATATCCCCCTGTACTGTGATATGGAGTTTGCGCCAAGTACGGGTTATGATTGTCTTCAGATTTTTTAAAGTAGTACAGGATATCTTTGTAGCCCCAGCCCTTGTTGCCTAGAGATTCCCAATTGTTGTAGTCCTTCTTATTGCCTCGAAGATACAGCATGTAGTTGAGGACAGAACTGCCGCCTAGGACTTTGCCACGTGGCCAGTTGCATCGACCACCCTCCATAGCTGAAAAGTTATGATTTATTTGGAAAACATTGTGCAACTAGGCGTATCTAATATATAAAATTATCATTAGTATCACTTTATCAACATCGCTCTCGTCTAAAAAATACATCAATATTGTGCTAGGTATTATATATTCTTATGTATTCGGTGAAGTTGTAGTTCAACGCCGAGGCACCTACGATTATGACAAATCTTTGTTTATCGAAGAGACAGGACTACACGTCTGATTAAATTATTTACCTAAGCAGCTGGTCCCTTGCGGTTCAGTCTTATACTTCCAGTCTAGCTTGCTGAGCTGTAGGTAGCCGGCGAGCAGAGGTACGTCAGAGATCTCCGTTTCGTCACCTCCAGCTTCCAGAAGTAGTATCTTCCAATGACTGATTTCTGATAGCCGATTTGCCACTACTGCACCTGAAATCAGTTTTTGTGTGTTTTATTTTAACGGTAGAAACAATTACTCGATAATGGTTTTCTAGACTTGTAAAGAGAAATCTTCATTGTATGTGTATAATAAGTACCTGGGTGGTGGTATTATGATTACAAAGCCCGCCTTACACTTTTAGTAATTCATATTCTGCCTGCTAGCAATCATGTTTGGTAGTTGTTAACCCATTTTGAGGAGAAGGTTTCAAAGAATTTAAATTTTATTTCTATACCCTTGACACAATCCAGAACGTTAGAAAATCATGCATGAATTTTTATGATTTGTAGTCCAGTAGCATGATGACAACACACCAGCTTGCTTGTACTGTTTTTCTCCTTGATCGGTGACCCATGAGGTTCTTGGCCTCCGATAATAAAAAAATAAAACTTGCACGAAGTTCTTATCTGTTTATGGTATCATGTCACATTATTCATAGCTCTACTATCTTTTTTCTACAAATCTTTACAATTGTACTTACTAACCAGCAGAGCCGGCTCCGACAATAATAAAATCGTACTCCGGTAGCATAAATTCGTCCCCCACGTCAGTAGGTCTTCCTTCAGGATCGGTCTGGTCGTATTGAAAGTACGCTATCGCGGCCACCAGCATTGGAATGAACCAGGCCACCTGAAAATTATTTTTTATAAAGAAACGAGACTACAGCGGTAAATCACTGGTTCGCTTCCCGTTAGGGCCAGGTTTTTAGGAAACAAAAACAGCCTGATTTTCAGAACAAAATGTCAAATCGAAATCCATTCGCGATATTTCATTTTCCAAAATACATTTCAAATAATTTCACAATTAGATTAAGTCAAGTCTAATTTATGTGCTACCCGATTAGGCCCTTGAATTGAAGCTAGGGAATTATCTTTGTACTATAGTACTTGAGTTTACTGTAATCGTGTGGAAAGTACTTAGTAATCAGAACAAATTAATTTAGAAAAGTTCGTTTACTACTTACCATCGATAGTCAAACGTACAATTACCTTGTTTAGACCGCTGTACTGAGATTGTTAAAATTGAATGGCAAAAAGTAAAAGAACCGCATTTGCTATTAATATATTGTAAGGCGTTAAGCAATTTTTAAGTGTCTGTATGTGAGCTCCCCTCAAATAATAATTCTTAACTGTCACTATCACATACGAGATAGTGAAAAGCGCGATGATTGGACATTGATCAAAGTATAATTTGCGCAATGTGCGTTAATTACCTGCGTACCAGCAGCAGCGATGGCCGTTCCCGAGATGACGTCTGCCGCCAGCGAGTTCACTATCGAGCTCATGTTTGATCCTGGAACAGGAGACAGTACGGACAACGGTACATCGACACATTTTTGTTCGAAAATCGCCTCCATTGCAACGGAACAAGATATCGCAATGTGTAAGCTACACATGTGATGTGCTGGCGTGTGTACATGATTTGATTGATATTACCTACACTGTTATTTGAATTGGTCTCGCAACGCTTAGCGGTGAGCCGTGTCCCGCTTTTATTTCCAGGACGCCATTTTTTTCTTGTTAGTGACTTGACGTCTTGACATCTTGCCTATTTCTACCACCGAGCGGTAATGTGACTTTTGATATTACTGTGTTCCGGTTTTGAAGAGTGCTGATGAAATTACAAGGGACTTGTCAATTTATGTCTCGGGGTGAAGAGCGCAGTGAATATCATGAAGTTTTTACTGCCATGTTTTTTCAGATAACTCTTTGTATCCAGATACCCTAATATCTAACTACTCTTATAGATTTGTCTGTATATTTCTGGATATTAAAGTTATGGTGTTTAAAATCTGCATAACACGATTGAGGTACCGCGATACAATCCTATAAAGTAATCACGACACCTTTCTTCAAGTTAAAAGGAAGGATAACCTGAATTCCATCGGGTACCGTTACCCGGTCTTGCACGCACGTACAATACTTTAAGCAAGCTGTTTTGGATGACACAGTTTTCGTAAGGTATTGTTCCATTTGGTACAACAGCTAATCGCACAAACTTAAAAAACATGACTTTCTACCACTGTGCTGTCGTCTGCGTACCCAAAGAATTAAATTTAATTAAAAAATATACCGGGCATCAGTAGCAGGTCGTTGATATGCAGCAAAAATAGAGTGGCGGAGCGGACAGATCCCTGAGGTACACCGGCATTTATACCATGAGGAGCACACGAGTAACCATCTACAACTACGCGGATTATCCCACCCTTCAGAAAATCGCCTATCCATGTGCAAAAGCCAACAGGAATTCCGTAAGCTTGAAGCCTGTTTAACAGGCTATCATGCCAAACCCTATCAAAGGCCTCTGATATGTCGAGAGACACGGCAAGCGATTTACCGCGTTTCTCGACAGCCTCGCCCCATAAATGTGTGGCATACGCAAGAAGATCCCCAGGAGATCGACCACGGCGAGAATCATATTGTCGGTTACTGAGAAAATCGTTATCTTCGAGGTATCCAAGGAGACGGCTGTTCAATACACGCTCCATAGTCTTACAGAGTATGGAGGTGATTAAAAATCTACATGTTTTAACCGACTTCAAAAAAGGAGGAGATTCTATTTTTTTTGTTATGTCTCAAAGTGATGAGCGCAATGGCTGTGCACCTCAGATCTTTGCAATTTAAAGCTCTGAGTGGCACTGCAACTGTTATGGATTGGCGTGTAGCTTACCATCAGGCGCACGACTTGTTCGTCCCGTCACTTGATGTTATAAAAAAAACAGATATATGTAATACATGACTATATCCATGTATTAACAATCAATACATACACATATATGTATATGCAATGCCTACACATATGCCAGTCAAATGCATGTGATATTTTCAATGAAAATAAAATGTTATAGTGACCTATTCTGACCGACCTGTTCTGATAATGGAATTGGCAGACAGATGAGAGGAACTCCTCGACAGTGTACAGCGACTACCTAGTGTTTGGGCTCATATTATTAGTTTTGATGAGGACTTCCATATGCGTTTCAATTGTCATTGAGGAGGCCGCGGCAACGAACACAGCGAAAACGGACAAGCAGACTTTTCAGGTCGGTCTTTTTTTGTAATAAAAATGTATAATAATAATAATTATTATTATTATTGGCAACCAGAGCATCTTACCAGTTATGACTTTAGTAGCAGTAGAGCTTCTTGTGAAAGAGTTCGTCCAGGGAAGTACTGCCACCTCAACTACTTCTGCCGCCAAGCATTAATGTTAGCCTAACGTAACGCAGTAGTTCCGGTTTAGAAGGGTACGGGTGCTGGTTAAATTACAGGCACATGTGACTTGTCAACTTATGTCTCAGGGTGACGGGCGCAGTGGCAGTGCCCCTCAGATCTTTTAAAGCTCTGAGTGGCACTGCAACTGTTATGGACGTGTAGCCTACCATCAGGCGCACGACTTGTTCATCAAACTCACTTGATATTATGAAAAAAAGACTTACGCTTGCAAGACATGGACTCTGACTGCGGGTTTGATTCATCGCCTCAAGGTCACCCAGAGAGCTATGGAACGTATTGTATTCGGAGTCTCTCTACGTTATAAGATACGAAATGAAGCAGTACCCTTGTGCACTAAAGTCATCGACGTGGTCGTACGGGTCGCCTAACAGAAGTAGCAATGGCGTATGTTGCAGAAACGACGACCGATGGAGCCAAAGAGTTCTATTCTGGAGACCCGGTTTGGGAAGACGAAGTGCGGACAGATCACCTATGAGATGGTCGGACGAAATTGAAAAGACGGTAGGGACGACCTGGAACAGAGTAGCTGCAAACCGAGGACTATGGAAATCATACCAAGGCATGTGTGTATCCAACAGTGGAATCACTAATATGCTGAGAAGAAGACAAAGTAGAAGAATTATTAGCATACATTACTACGTACACTGAAGATTTCGAATTGAATTCATTGCACTATTCCGCCATGTTTCTTGCACCGATCTCTAAAATAAATGACAAACGATAAAGTTTTATTTTTACGCGTAATAAATAATCTACGAGATGAAACTCGAATACATGCGACAAGAAAAATAATATAAAACAATGGCTAGAGGTAATCTTTCAAGTAATTGCCAAATAATATTTGTGTAATTTTTTTTGTATTGAATGCACGCAATCACGTACAGTTTCAAGTGACTTTATAAAACAATTATAATAATTGTTATTACCAACTATATCACTAGTTATATCGCGTTTTGGTGTTATGGTTTAAAGTCATAAAAATAATAAGAACTAGCTCTTTAACAAACATTTAAAAAATTACTTATTTCGTGTTGCGCAATACCAATATTATTAAACGAAAATCTGACATTTCCAAATTAAAACTTAATTTTTTAAAACTTTGAAGGCCATTTTCCGAAAGTTGACTTTTTTGTCTAGTGACTAAGTGAAAACTGGCAAAATACGAAACTAGATTATTAGCTTCTAGATAATATTTCTAATTCATATTAAAAAGAACGAAAGAAAAGCTTTGCAAAGGTAAAGGTACCTTGATCTAAATTCTAAATTTAGGATTCACAAAAACTAAACAATCAGTACCTAAATTACATTCCAAATACATCCAGAATAACAAAGTTGACGTAGAAAGCGCTTATTGGACCGTGACGTTCACCTATATTGCGAGGTGCGGTGCGCTTGCGCTATCCAGAATGCTAAGTTGTTCCGGTGAAAATTACGCTTATGTAACATGGCGTAATTATTTCAGATCCCGTACTTGATTGATTGAATTACATTATAAAACATGAGACACGTGTATGAAACGTATTTTATTTGTAACCTTTACCGTGCTTAAATATGCGATTGCAAACAACGTGACAAGAGTTCGAGTTTAAAGTGTACAAATGGTTATGGTATGGCATTCCCACAGTACTATCATTGCCGGTTTTGTAGGCTAAGGATCCTGGTGATTTTACCAGCAAATGGGACTTGTCAACTTATGTAATAATATTATATAATAACGCGCACACACTCGTAGCCCCGCACTAGGGAAACTCTGTATCACGGGTGCCGTGGACACACACATAGACAACCACAAATTACACCCAAAGTCACGAGAGAAACAAAATGTAGACCATTCAAATATTTCTCATCCCAGCCCGGGAATCGAACCCGGGACCTCTGCTTGGCAGTCCAGTATGGGAACTGTTCGGCCACTGACGCAGTTAATGTTAATGTCTGAAAGAGACGTGCGCAGCCTCGGATCTTTGTAATCTGTGTGATTTAAAGCTCTTGAGTGGCAGTGCAACAGTTATGGTTCTTGTATGCGACGGGACGAACAAGTCGTGCGCCTGATGGTATGATCAGGTAAAGAGGATGAGAGAACATTTTTATACAAGTATTTTACAGCGACAATAGTCATTGAAACTCGTGATAGAAGTACTGAATCATAACAAAACATCGTAATCTACGAAAGTAATTTCAATTATCGACGAAATCATTGGAAATTGTGAATGAATTGGAAGTTTAAATGTATTTATACCAGTTTATACCATTCTATTATACGTAAGATTATTTTAAAGTACTTTAGAGAAACTATAGTCACGTTTGGAAAGTTCCTTTGTCATAGAAATAAAGTGCCAGATGCCATGTTTTTTTATACTAATCGTTAACATTAAACGAAATATTACTTACCTAGTTATTTATTACTGTAAGCACATAACGTATTTTTCACAGTCGCCGAAAATAGGAAGCAAAGTCTGTGTTCTACAGAGAAACCACTCATGCATTATATCGGATACTAAACACTACACTTTCGCTGATGCTCGATCAATGTTTTCGTCGATTTTTATTTCTACTTTTTGCTTTTACTGTTCAGCCCTTTACAATGCCCGTAAAGAGATTGTAAAATGCTTATTTTGTTTTATTTGACGATCGTTTGTCATTCGTTATCATATATTATACTTTGAAAGAATGTTCTGGAGGTCAAACGCTTTGCAGATTGTTTTCTGATTTCGTTTTCTAAAAATGTAATGTATTAAAGGAGTCTGTTTTATGTTGTTTTAAAATAAATTCACAACAAAACACTGTAGAAGAATCGAAAAGCCTTGAAAAGTATCGTTGTTGCAAATCAATCGTAAAAAATGCAGAACTCACACCGTTATAACACTGTTAAAGAACCATAAGCTCCGTAAATCATTAACAGAAGTATATTAGAGATATAAACGAGTTCAAAACGAATTACGGTTGCGCGTCGCGTTCGAAATACGGTTTTGCTGCGCGCGCGCGTCGGAAGACACTTTCTTTTACCGTATGCCTGTACGAACTGATTCACTGGCGATAGGACGATGGCAGCGGTGGTGGGTGGTACCTATTGACAGCAGTGTACCGTGGTTGGTACTG